CCATTTTCTTTTCATCGATTAACACCAATTTTTTCCAATTAAACCAAGCTCAAAATTGCTGGTGTTATTTACTCAGCTTTAAGCATGTTCACTGACTGTGGAAATGCAATTAAAAACAGCATTCTTTTATGCCTAGTGGTTATGTTCTTAGAGCCATGTGGCTGTAGTCCTCAACGGTGGGTTCTAATCTGACCTCTCTCCTCTGCAGCATGTAAACTCCCAACTCTCTCCTCTCAACATTTCCTGACTCTTAAGCATCTATCCTATACGATTAAAAATGTCCAAAAACAAACAAACTAAATCTGACATGACCATTTCAGCTTCCTTGTGCAAGAACTTCTGCAAGTATCGGTGTTTGAATTCATCACATGTAAATGTGCACATGTTGTACAGAGCCGTATCTAAGTTGCATTGAAGCTCAGTCCATGGTCAAAGTGTTTGCGGACCTCTTAATGCATTAGAGCCGAGTCTTCTGCTGTTGGATTGGATGTCTTGTGGTTGCCTTCTGCATGTGTAAGATAATTATTATTCCAGCATTCACTTGAAACATGAGCAGAAGACAGTGACGGTCTTTGATGGTTTGAATTTATTTCCGAGGATGTTTTTTTCTGATTACGTGTGTGTGTGTGTGTGTGCGTGTGTGTGTGCTTCATGATAATGTGCTTGTGGGATGACTGCCTGTCTTCAGAGAGAAGGCAATATGAGCAGTTTAGAAAGCACAACCTTAAATCCCCCCCTCTCTTTCTTTCTGAGGCCCTGAATGTGGTTGCCCGGCAACATTAGGAAAGAGTTTTCAAATTAATTATTTTGAGTTGGATCGACTGAACTGTCGCCAGGACCAAACCAAACTGGCTGCGGCACACAGGTACTGTCGAGTATATGAAGGACACAGGAGGATGACGGTGCTCAACAGCTTTCTGTGCAGAGACGAAACACAAAGATGTGTTGGAAAAATAGTCTCAAAAAAAAGTTATGCTTAATTTGTATCATTCTTTCCATTCATTAATTCACTTTTTATCACAGTTTATGAAGATGAAACACACTGCTACAGGAATCACAAGTAGAAACACTTTTTACTCTGAAAGAATAGCAGACTATTTCTTATGCTTTGGTCAAAAACAATAACATAGATGCTACCTCTCTGAACCACTTCTTAAACCTTATTAAAGCTTAACCATGCGGTTTCATTGAGCCGATCAGAGCAGAGCATGCTCTCCCTGTCTTCCCCATTTGACCTTCATCGGTGTTGATGTCGCTCTGCAGGTATGTGACAGTTTTAACCAGAAGCAGTATCCTTTAGGGTCAACTGTCGCCCAGGGGGAAGTCATGAGAGAGTATTATGGTCCCTCAATCCAATCCGAATGTATTTAGTGAGCTCATTAATAACTAAAGATGACTAAATTGGACAATTAAACTTTAAAACCATAGAAAGAACACAATAAAATACCAATTTAAAGACTACATGACAATACGATATTAAAAAGCATTGAGACCAATTTGAAAGAAAAGGATTAAAAAGGCAACTTTGATGCAAAGCAAAAAGCCAACCAAAAAAAGGTTTGGTTTGAAAACAGGGAGTTCCCATCCACGAGCTATGACACTGAATGGTTGCATTCTGCCAAATAGCTTTTTTCTTTTTTCTTATGTTCAGAGTACTTCTTTTATTATAAAGCCCTTAATGCTGTATCTTCAGTACTAACAGTTGCTAAGTAATACTGAGTTTGTTTAAGTTTGTTTTGAACATTTAAATATATATTTTTCCCTTTTCAAATCTGGTGTTAATGACTAACTACTCACACAGTATTAGTTACCATTTTGTTTTGGTCACTTTGGTCAAGCTATAGGAATGCATAAGCGATCTGTTTGTGTTTTTCTGTTTGGAAGACATCAGAATCCTGCAGACTAGACAAAGAACGCCCATCCTCAAAATAATTAGCAACAGCCCCATTGTGGTTTGTTGTGGTACTGCAGGTGGTCTACTCGGCGTCATTCATAATAAATGAATTAAAGACGTTTTATTTCAACCTGACAGGTATACATCTGTATGTGGATAGGTTATTTATTTGAAAATAGTCACAAATATACTACTACTTTTTCACTTCTAAACAGAAATATACAATATTTTGTCAACTTCAAAGCAGGCTGCAGGATTTTGAAGATTGGTATTTGCTGATCTTGATGATCCCATGTAATGTCTGTTTATTAGGTTATACCTATCGCAGTGGCAGAGGCTACCGACTCACATGTTTTATAAAAAAGTTATTGATCATCATTGACTTGGTGTTGCCCCAGAGGTTTTTAGGTCTGCTCAATCCTCCCCCCCCCCGAGGTTTTACTGGCAGAAATCCAGTGAAGCTGATATTTCCCCTGGTCGGGGCAGCACTGGCTTAGAGCTGCAGTGCTTTAATTTCCTGTTCAGGAGGAGGAGGGCAGAGATAATCCACCTGAATAGTTGTGGGGTAGCTTTTGCAGGCCACTGATACCTGATTATGGGGCAAAAAAAGCACGAGCTCTGCAGTGATTTAAGAACTGTCTGGCCTTGTGATAAATCTGGCAGGATTAAGCAACATTAGTGTCAGGGATGTTAGAGCCTGGGCTTTTTTTTATTTATTATTTAGTACCTCCTGAGTTATATACAACACTGATTTTATATTCAGAAAATGTGAAGTCATTATAAGCAAACAGCTGTTGTTTTAAAGATTAAGGTGACACAAAGGAACATAAGGTTCACATTGGTGTTGTGTTTCTGGATATCTTTGCGAAACTTGACTAGAAATTCCCTCACATTCAGCCAAGCTAACAAAAAGCACATCATGGTCACTGGTCACATAGAGATAGGGGACAAATAAATTGGACCTCAGGATGAGACTGTGAAGAAGGGATGACATTACATACCTATTATGTTTGTTTACTCAAATAACCTTGTGTTTTGTATCTCAGTTCAAATAATGCAGAGGGTGAGTTGGAGGCTTTTGGCTGAGCAGAGACACGGTGTGTGGTGTTTCAGGCGTTGTTAATGTGGTGGCTTTATTCATTGGGATGGCCACGGCACACCTCAGGAATGATTACATGCATTAGAGCTTAATAAATTACACCGGGGCCCGTCTGGGGACTGAAGGCGCAGTTTGCACTGAGCAAGAGGAGGACTTGATTATTGCCATTTGAATTAGATTTTCTTTTTTGGTGGGTTTTGTTTACTCTGCTGCGGCTGCGGCTGCGGCTGCTGCTGCTGCTGCTGCTGTTGTCATTCCCAAACATGTGATGCTGTTTTTCCTGCTCGATGCTTGATTGAACAAATTCCCTTTTTTTGCTGTTTCTATGTAAATGAATGAGAGATCGTTCTATAGTGAGATAAATCTGTATTCATAAGTCGCTGCATGTGTTTTACTTGGATACCTCTGCAGGCAATTTACAGAAGCTGGTTACATGAAGGAACACACAACCCACAGTCCCCCACCCTCACACACACACACACACACACACACACACACACACACACACACACACAAACACATTAATGACAAGCCGTAGTCCTGTCCCCAGGGTGTCACACCTCTATGTGACCCCTGCATGAAAAAAAAATTGCCATATCCACTGTAGTCCAGCGAGTCATGGGAAGAGTGAATGGATGTAATCAGTAAGCTCACCCATTCACTCTGCAGGAAGAGAAGAAGCTTGTTATTCTCTTTGTCTCTGTTATTTTACCTCCAGTCTCCATCCTTTCTTCCTCTTCTCTCCTCTCCTCCCCTCTCCTCTCCCCTCCTCTCCTCTCCTCTCCTCTCCTCTCCTCTACATCTTTTATCTGTCCATCTCTGTCTAACTGTGTCCCCGCTCCCTCCCTCCTTGCTATTATTATTTTCTGATCTGCTCACATAATATCCACCTCTTCTCTGCTGATTCATTTTCTATATATTTAAATATCTTAACCCTCCAGTCCTCTCTCTCTCCCTCCCTCCCTCCCTCCCTCCTTCCTTCCTTCCTTTCTTTCTCCCCATCAGCCCTGCCACAGTCTTCATCTTTCTCTGCAGCACTGTGCTGTGCCGCAATCTTTCCCAGTTTTTGAAAAAAAAAAACCGTTATCTATGTATATCCCTGTTACTTACTCACTTCTTCTTTTCTATATAACTGCAATAAGGTGCATGGCTCAGTATTTCCCAGACATTTTGCACCCTACGATTACATGTCGCGCTCGGTAATTGACTGCTAAGTGTTCTTATTTTATATATTATACATAAATTATCTGAAAATGTTAATGTCCCCGATGAAACCCTAAGTGTTCAAAGATCAGAAGTGCTTCTGAGTCAGAAAAGGTGACGTCCTGCAATAATTCTTGATGTCGGCGATGTGTGTGTAAGTGTTGGTCGACCATAAAGACACATTTCTCTGCAAATAGATAACCTGATATCAGATTTTATGACCTTCCAGTCGGGTGTAGAGATAAAACAAAATAACCTTGACAAGCTGAGACGCTTTTTCTGAACTGCAGTACGTCTGGGAAAAAAAAGAACTCTTGCATATTGTCAGCGTTGGGCGAGGTTATTTGGAAAGTGTTTGGTGCTGAGTTACAAGCTTCACAACATTAAAGCTGCTTTCCTTCAGTGAAATGTGGAAGCAAAAGGTAGCTGACTACATTGAAGCTGCTTTTTGAATGTCTTCTATCGAATGTCGTCCTATGTTGTACTTAAATCTCTGGCATTGTGATGACTGTTTTTTAAAGGTGCTGTATAAATAAACCCTCCTCCCTTCCTTCCTTACTTTTTAATGTGAAACTACCTCTGACTGCAACAAATAAACATCCATGTATGAGGGTTGTCATTTTACTTACGCTAAGCAAAGCTATTGAGTGAAAGAAAAAGTGACACAATCATCAAGCTACTGAGAAAGGTAGGGAAACTATGAATGCTGCTACTTTAAGAGTTTGCTGGGCTGTCTACACAAACAAATACAAGCTGTTTGTTCCCTTTGCTGGACTGTACATTCCTTAACAGAGAACCTTTCAGGTTTGGTCGTCCAGGTGTGGAGTGCTACTGTCAGCATGAGAGTGGATCGGCCGTCATCCAGCTACAGTTCCTTATCAACGAGGTAGGTCACAAAATACTGTACTATGTTACACCATTGAATTGTGTCTTCACCTATAAATCCAGTACTACCAAAGACAGGTGACTCTTCTATAGTAAAAAAGAGGTATGTTATTATCTTTCCTAAGTGTTCTACTGGAGTCTGTTAAAAAAACAGTCCTCTGTGCTGAATGTCATAAAGTAAGACTTAAGGGCTTATTTATGAATGCTCATCCCGGTAATCACATTTCACGCCTTAAATTTTTTTCAAAAAGTAGTGTACTGTTGTAGGGAAGAGGGAATGAATGAATGATCACATTGGTTGTGTGAAAGTAACTCAGCACCCTTATCTGCTTTTCCCCCTCTGGTCGTACATCACTCACTGTTTTATTCCATTACAGTGACTTCTATTCTCTGCCTTATATTCCTCACAGCCAAGGGTAGAGTCAATCATCGGACCACATGCCTCTGATATTAAAGCTAGGCAATGATCCTCAGTCCCTTTTTTTGAGATCTGCGTTCAAAGCAGAGAGTACTTTAAACTGTCAAGTGTCAAAAGTTTGCAACAGAAAGTCTTTGTCATATTCCTCTTTGATATGTATTTCTACTTTGACCTGGTCAGGATATGAAGAGGTTTGCTTTTCTAAGGCAATTTTCTACAACTTATTTTGATAAAATAATGTGTATGTAATCACAACTGCTTTAAGTACCCATTATGGTTTTAGAACTGACACAGATGCAGCCCTCTGATGACCACATAGTGTTAGTATTAGAACTGAGCATGTCTCAAATACTGATATCAGTACTGGTATCCACACAGAGGTCTCCTCCAACACCATTATTGCCACTTATTATTGCAACAATAATGATACCGGTATAAGAACTGACACAACCCATACAAACTTTGTACTAAAGCCTCACAGGAGGCAAATACAAACGCAACACTAAAAATCTGCAGAATTTTGTCAAGTGTCACCTGACAGACAGACAGAAACATGCCATGAGTGCTTTCTGATTTATATGAAAGAAAACGATAATAAATTGGTTTGACTTCATATTTATGCAGTATTTCATGCTTAGTCGTGTGTGTTTGTTGTGTGTGTGCGCGTGTGTGACTGTGACTCAGCAGCTTGAACGAACCCCTCAGGCAGATGAAGACGATTTTTATTGCCTCCTACACACACACGTACATGCGTATACGTCCCATGAATCATCCTTGTTACCTGGGAGAAAGCTGCCGGATTTAAAGCGTCCAGGGAAGGCAGTCTGACTCATGCATGTCATGCTCACAGAGAGAGATTACACAAACAGGAAAAAAAAAGAGGCTCATCTGCACAGGCTGCATAATCTCAGAGTATAAACTTGTCCTTTGTGTTTAATGTATTTTCATTTCTTTTCATTTCTTCTCAGGGAGCGCTGGTGAGTGCTCTGGCTGACGACAGTGTTCACCTGTGGAACCTGAGGCAGAAGAGACCAGCCATCCTGCACTCCCTTAAATTCAACAAAGAGAGGTGAGGAATGCACCAGAAACAAAAACCTAATAGTCATTCAAGCTCATGTTTTCACTAAACCCAATACTTCTAGATTCAAAAAAAAGGTTTGACTATAAAGATACTGTATGTGCATGTACTTTATAGTGAAGTTCTATTTTTTTTAATTCATCACATTGCTAGTCTTGAATTCATTAGCTAAACATACAAAGTGGTAGCAAGGGGGGAACTGCTAGCCTAACTCTTTATTCTAAAAAACCTGAATAGCTAAATTGAATATCTGTGATTTAAGTCAAGTTATGTACTGTAGCAGTCCAACTTGCAATTCTGTGGCATTTGGTTACTGGATTACTTCTCCATGACAACAGAATTCTGAGAAGTAACGCCAGCAGGTTCGAGCACATAACTTTGTATGAGGCCACAAATCTTTGTTTTTTTGTACTGCTGTTGGTGTACGGAGTGAAAGAGCACAACAGGGTTCATATCCGGGTTGGGGCACAGCCATGAAGCGTGCGGCTGCAGTGATGTTTTTATCAGACCTCAACTTTGTAAAAAGCTGTGAACTGTCATGTCTCTTAGACACAGTACAAGTATGCCGTGTTAGAATGCAGATATTATCACAAGGGAACACTTTTCAAATGAGTAAAGTTTGAGGCAGTTTGGACTGAGCAACAGTAACTTCCTGTTTTATGGTGAGACATCAAACTTTGACAATACTACACAGCGCCGTCTTTTGAGTTTTGGACATGAGCTGAAGAAAGGTTGATCTCTTTGAGACGGGTTAGATGAACCACATAGAAAGAGCTAATCCAATATTGTAGCTGTAAACCTCAATATGCAGTGTGTGAAACACTGAGCAGAAGTCCTTCCGCTACTTAGCCGCCATAGTAGGAAGTAACAGAGGCCTACCGGAGGGGAGACAGCAGGAGACAGTAGCGATGGGTAACGTCAGAGCCAGCGGGGCAGAACAGCGCTGTGTGTTATATATGTGAAGCTCCCGCTGTGTGCTCACATGTCAATCGCTTTTGCAACACTGTAACGCAATATGAAACCCCACACTGGGACACCAACGCTGTCACGGATACAATGTGTTAGAACAAAGGCATTATGACGGCAGAACTTACAGCGCTGTTGTGGAATCACAATCTGTAAGCTGCTCATGTGTCCACCCTAACCCTACTCTCTTCCTCCTTCTCTTTCTGCTTTTCTTCCATCTCCTTCTACTCTGTCTTTCTCCTCTCCCTTCTCAATGAGGACTTCACACTCGCTCTGGTGCTACATGAACTGCGTCCTTCTGAGCAGGGCTAGTGTCACAGTTTTGCCGCCTGTGTGAACCGTCAGTTTTTCCTCTGATTCTCAAACTGTATGCCAACAGACGGCTTTTCATTTGGCAAATGTGTCCGCACGCCTGCAAATCTGTGCACAGGGCAAAGGAGGTGACAGAGAGGCCGACTCTCTCTCTCCCTCCCTCTTTCTCTCTCTCTCTCTCTGTTTGGGTTGGTCTGTAACTGACTCTCATTATTTGGGTCACTTCTCTGCCTCGGAGGCTTTCCGCACAGTGGGGCACAGGTGTGGACCTACCCAAAACACCTGAAGGTTCACTCCAACTGGTTGTCACACAAAAACACACACATAGAACCACAAAACAGATTAAAGAATACACACAGCAGATATGAAAAGACTGTGAAATTAAAAGGTACAATTCTATGATAAGAAATATTACACTTACAGTTTATCTGCAATAAGGGGAAAAATAGTCTTGATATGTGCTGTATTATAAGTCTTTTATTGTAAAAAATAATTAGCATAGTTAATATTATTGCAAAGCAGATTTAATGTAATTTGGATGTTTAACATTCCTATGTTAAAAGATAGGGATGTAAAGATTAATCGTAAAATCGTGATAAACCGATTCAAAGATGTCAAGATTCACATCGGTATTCTCAAAAATGGATCGCAATAATATCATGAGCATCAGCAGCTGTAGAGCAGAGATGGTTGGCAGCAGCAGAGTAAGATTTTGAAATTGAGGACGCACCACCGTCTTTTAAAATCGGAGGTGTGGAAGCATTTTGGCTTCCTCAAGACAAAAAATGAAAGTGGTGAGTAGATAACAGACAAGACAAAAACTGTGTGCAAATATTGCAAGAAGACTGGGAACTATCACTAAACATGACGCAACATTTAATCAACACCACAATGAGAAGCTCCAATCGCCTCCCCTTGTTGCGAGAAAAAACAACATTAAAAGGCCAAACAGCACTGACAAGTGGGTTTGCAGCCCCTAAAGGAGTCTTTTTCAGTCATAATTTGTCTACAGTCTCATTTTATAAAATTAATTGTGAGCGAATCGAATCATGAATTGTATCATGAGTTGAGTGAATCGTTACATCTCTATTAAAAGATGTTGTTAAATCTAACTAGAGAGCAGCTAAAGTAGATAATTTAGGTTTTGAGCTGCAGTTTATAAAATTGCCAATTTCAAATTGTCCATGAGTGACCAAGACTGATACTGCTTTAAACTTAAGTATGATTTGAGGGAAACATTTTTTAATCATACTCTATAATAAAAAAGGTTAACCATGGCAACATGGAGAAAAAAACTTAACGGAGATAATTTAAATCCAGCTAGCGACACGTAATACATGCTCTAATAAGAATTAAAAGATAAAGATAAAAGAATTTAATAATGTCGGTCTGAAAACAGAATAAATTGACAAAACAAACAAGAAAGAAATCGTTCTAAACTCCAAATTCCAAGTTGAGTGATTACTTCAAGGAACTAGGTTTCCACTGTCTCCTCCAAACACAGATGCAATGATTACCAATCAGAGCCAATCATGTCACCGACCAGTGATCTGTCGCTGGGATAAGTGTTTCATGGGTTAAACGTCAGAGCCAATGATCTGAGGCAGTGCTGATGTGACAGACAGGTGACCCGCAGCTGCTTCCAGGGCGCATTGTGTATTTGCGCAGGCGCTCCACCGCCTCTGACATTTAGTAAGCGCTGAGGTCCAATGCAACAACCTGGAGACAACAGAGACGAGTCACAACATTCACTAGTGAAAGGACTGCAATTCATGAGAAGTCAAGATAGGAGAGAGGATGTGCAAAGTGACTCGGGACTTGGGGAAGAGGCTTGGGAGGAAGTGTACTTAAAGAATTTGGGAAAGGAAGAAAAACAAAGTGAAATTGGTAACACGAGCAGGAGGAGGTCTATACATCCCACTCCTCATTCCCTGTTCCCATCACATTAAAATTTCAAGAGAACAAATGCTGGCTTTCAGTCCTCATCTATACATAATAAGACGTGGACATTTGGAGGAGAAAATGCAAATGCCGTGCTTGAGCTTCAGGGAGACGGACTCACTAGCTAATCTGAGTATTAGACATCAGTCTGCTAACCTGCACCTGAGGGCGATGCAGTCTCACAGAATACCAGTAGCTTTTCTCAGTTTAACAACTGGGAGTCTGAAAAAAACCAAAAAAAACCCCAGATATTTTCTCTAGCTGGGTTCTAGTTTCCCTATCACATCCCAAAGACATACTGCTGAACTGAGCTGGTAATTTAATTGCCCGCAAGTGTAACTGTGTTTGTCCTCCGTATGTGTTACTTGCAACACAGAGCAGCTGCGTCTCAAAGCATTGCATCAGCAGCTGCCTATAGTGCACATGCCAGATGTAAACACACAGAAGAGGCTGTAGAGCACTGCAATGATAATCCAGGAAAAGGATGTGACAGAATTGCTGCTTGAGGGGCATTAAGCGTGTGCGTATCGAGACCTGGACGCTTTTTGAGTTTACATATAAAATAGCGGCGTCAGGTGCATTGATGCATGTCATACATGGTTGTATGTGTAGCCCTTTTGTCCTGCGACAAACTGGCGACATGCCAAGTACTTAATCTTCCTGAGATTTTTGGCACAGCACACCATGCTCAAGACCATGCAGAGGAGTACGCAGGTGTAGTTCTATGCATGTATGCATTCATGTGTGCACAACTAGGACCTAAACAGATTTGCATGTAACAGATTCAATATATTGATTACTTATCTAAGAATGTGCCTGGAACAAGTGTTTGTGTGTTCAATGTAGTTATTTCTGAAAATATGCTAAAACTAATGCTATTTTTTGGCTTTGCAAGTTATTGTAGAAGAAGAAAATCTTGATAGACAGCTATCTTTTTCTTTCTCTTTATCCAACGGGTTCTTACAAAATGCAGGAAGAAAATCACATCTTACATCCCTATGCAATTATGTTCACGTGTGTGAGTGGCTCAGCCCTCCATTTTCCAGTTTGATTCACTTCTCCGTAGTCTTCTTCATATATAATACTATCATATTTTCTAAATGGGACCATCAGGTTATTGTTAAACCCATCCTGATTTTTATTTTCCCATAACACGGCTCAGTTAATTGTATTGCATTCAGTTAAGCATTTAAGATGTCCTCTGGCTATTAAGGCTGTAAATATCTCTCTGCTTTGTTTTTTTTTGTATATTTAATCAAAGCTATGCACACCTTTGTTGCTAAGATCCAGTCTTTTAAATATAATAATCAAAAGAAATAACCTCTGGTTAATTTCCAAATGGCTTTGGTGTCACTTAGGAGAAAGTATGGATGTCTCAGTGAAGCCATAACATAGTGTAGTTACCTCACTGCAGGGCTGAATTAGTCAGACCTGTAAAACCTTCAACAAACCTTAAATATAAAAGGTCTTGGTCACCCACTGCCGCTCTGTCCCACTGTTTAAATTGCTCCTTTGTTTTCCCTCTTGCTATTTATTCAGTGCTTGACTTTACCTTGTCAGGGTGTAGAGGACAAGGCAGCCATTTCCTGCATTAACAAAAGGACAGTCACCCAACCAGAACTGCCACAGCAGCTTCTTAACAAGGGGCAACAGAATGAAAAGAAACAACAGCCTGTAAAAAGCTAAGTTAGACACTAAACTACCCTGAATACTTGATGAATTAATGAATTAACATGTTGGCAGTATTATTACAAAGGCCTATTTCAAAGCTA